AGTGACCATGCTGTCTTGTTTGCTGGTGAAGAGCTGCAGTTCAGTCAGTTTGTTGCTTCATTAGCAAGACAGGATGACAAGTTCAAAACCATGGATCTGGCAACTACTAATGAAGGCCAGACAGAAGGACCATTTCCTTGCCTCCTGTCAGAGTTGCAGCCACCAAAGCCAGGATCACCTGCAACTGAGTTGCTGCCACCAGCCTATGATGATGCCTGTGCTAACTACCCTGACCTTCCCAGCAATCCTGAGGAACCAATGTCCTCGAAGTGTACATCTGTCGTGCAGAGAGATGATTTGGCAGAAATAGCGGCTGTGGCGACACTTTTCGTGCACCATGCCAAGCACAGCCAGCGACACTTACCCTACTACACCTGCCAGTCCCCCGCAGGCTCCCCACCGTCTACTCCACATCTTGTGATGGATGGTTTATCGGTTGGTGAAGATGTACAAAATCTTGCCGAGAGAGCCGAGGAGGAAGACTTAGCGGACTGGGTCAATGGAATGTGTGGCACTGGGAACCTTTTCATGCACCAAGGTGAAGATATTCAAGGTCTTGCCACAAAAGTCGACAAGGAAGACACACAAGACTTTGTCAGTGAAACGTCTGGTGACCAATCTACACCTACTCCATTGATGCACCAAGGTGAAGATATCCAAGGTCTTGCCACAAAAGTCAACAAGGAGCACACAAGACTTTGTCAGTGAAACGTCTGGTGACCAATCTACACCTACTGCATTGATGCACCAAGGTCTTGCCAAGAAAGTCAACAAGGAAGGCACACAAGACTTTGTCAGTGAAACGTCTGGTGACCAATCTACACCTACTGCATTGATGCACCAAGGTCTTGCCACAAAAGTCGACAAGGAAGACACACAAGACTTTGTCAATGAAATCTGTGGTGATCAATCTACACCTACTACGTTGATGCACCGAGATATCCAAGCTCTTGCCAAGAAAGGCAACAAGAGAGGCACACAAGACTTTGTCAATGAAACCTATGTTGACAAATCTATCCACGGTCTTGAAAACAAAGACAACTCACTTGTCACTGGCATGTGTGTGGAGTCCCAGGAAATGGTGCCTGCCACATTGATGGGCCAAGACGCAGACATTCAAGTCAAGAAAGTCGAGGAAGACCAAAGAAACTTGGCTAATGGTACGTGTGGTGTCTCTGACATGTCTGACAGCATTAGAGATCGTATGTTGCCCCTCCCCTTACTATACATATGTATACTTTCTGTGATTTTGATCCTGAGGCCCGAGCCTATCAAACAAGGGGTCCTATGTTTTATGTTGGAGTCCTGAGGCCCAGCCATATTTAATCCAAATCATGAATATTCCTTATTTATTACAGAAAATTGATGAATAATGAATATCAAAATTGTTTATTCACAAACACTTGTTTACAAGAGACACTTGTTTTCAAGGCCCTATTAAACAAATCATTGTGAATAGAGAACTTTAATATACGTCAATAATAATCATTCACCAACCTGATGAAATTATGTACGGAATTAATGAATTATTAATATTTTACTTGAATGAATTCCTTACAGGAGGAAAAGGAACTTAAAACATTGTGCTCTACAACACATATTGTTCAATCATTTCAGAGATAGACATGGAGGCCAAAACTGATGAGCCCAAAAAGAGAGAGGGCAAGTGGTGGGATTTAAGAACAAAGAGAGCAAAGATGGCCACCGACAAGACAAATGGTAGCAACAATGGTGAGTTAATTAAGGATTCTGCTTTAATTGTGGGTAATATATTGTTTTCTCTTGTAATTTTGCAGTGGTTCATGCTTGTACAAGATGATTTTGGAACAGACCATTCTTACATATCAAAAATAAGGAATGGAATACATTTATACTGCATTTGCTTGCAAATGTTGGCTTTCTTTCTTTCTAGTAAGGATGACCGTTTTTTCTAGCTGCTCAATTTACATAGCATGCCTATTTATTGCTAGCTAATTTTATCGTGACATGGTAGAAATGATGAGCTTGTTTTTTTTATCTTCTTCCAGACAAAAACGATACAAAGAAAGGAAAGAAGTGGTGGAGAAGAGCCTCTAAAAAGGAGAGTGAGGGGAAGAATAGTGACAGTAACACTAACAGTGGTGAGTAGAATTCCATTAAATTATGAGGTGTACACAGCTACAGTAGGGGGCTAGACCAGTAGGTAATAGTGTGGTTTCAATTTTTTTTTTCAAGTGCTGAGTGCTTCTACATGCAGCTTGTGCTATTCTTGAAGTCTTTGGTATGACCCAGCTAGGGTTTGAACCCCCAACCACTGAAATACGAGGTGAATACTATACCAACTAGGCCAATAGGTGGAAATCATTTACAATCATTCAATTGTCTTTTTGTAAGTTAGTAAACATTACATGGTATATTCACCATATCCAAACATTTGCACTATTGATAACATTTTTTTACTATTACCAAAGTACATTGATCTGACTTGTTTCTGACATTACAGAGGCTGAGTCAAGAAATAAATGGTGGAAGATTTTCAGAAAGAAGCAGTCACAAGGTGAGACTTAACTTCTATGACACCAGCACAAGTATTCAATAGTACTCACCCTGGCAAGGTACATGTTATTGGTGTAATGTATTAGTATTTACAGTAGGTGTGTTGGTGTTACGTCGAACAGAATGTTTTTGAAATGGCAGCTTCTCTTTGAATAAAACCCGTAGAGACGCCTATATATGATGCTGTAAAGACTTCGCACAAATGAATAATAGGTACTAAGTGCCTGAGTGATGTTCATGTTGCTTTTGCAGAGAAAGGACATGGAAAGCAAGAAGAGAAAATCACTACAGATTCGAGAACAAAATGGTGGAAGAGGGGCAGCAAGAGTGAGAAGACTCAGGATGGAATGGATGATAAGACAAATGGTTAGTTGTATTAACGTAATATTTTTCATACTGACATCAGGTATAATTGATGTCAAACACTTTCCATCAAACTATTTTATTAGAAGTAGAGTTGTATTGTGCACCAGTGTCCTGTATGTTTGTGTGGATGGTGTGTTCAGCACCCAGGACAGGTTTGTGTACAGATTTGTGTTGTGTACCAGTGTCCTGTATGTTTCTGTAGATGGTGTGTTCAGCACCAGAACAAGATTGTATACAGATTGTGTTGTGCACCAGTACCCTGTATGTGTAGATGGTGTGTTCAGCACCCAGGACAGGTCTGTGCACAGATTGTGTTGTGCACCAGTACCCTGTATGTTTGTGTGGATGGTGTGTTCAGCACCAAGGACAGGTCTGTGCACAGATTGTGTTGTGCACCAGTACCCTGTATGTGTAGATGGTGTGTTCAGCACCAAGGACAGGTCTGTGCACAGATTGTGTTGTGCACCAGTACCCTGTATGTGCAGATGGTGTGTTCAGCACCAAGGACAGGTCTGTGCACAGATTGTGTTGTGCCAAGGACAGGTCTGTGCACAGATTGTGTTGTGCACCAGTGCCCTGTATGTTTGGGTGGATGGTGTGTTCAGCACCAAGAACAGGTGTGTGTACAGATTGTGTTGTGCACCAGTGCCCTGTATGTGTAGATGGTGTGTTCAGCACCAAGGACAGGTCTGAGTACAGATTGTGTTGTGTACCAGTGCCCTGTATGTTTGTGTAGATGGTGTGCTCAGCACCAAGGACAGGTCTGTGCACAGATTGTGTTGTGCACCAGTGCTCTGTATGTTTGTGTGGATGGTGTGTTCAGCACACAGGTTGTGTTTTAGTGCAGATTGTTTAGTGTCACTAGAGTCCTGTATGTTGTCTGGATTTGTATTCAGCACTATGGACAGTTGTGTTATCTTCTAAATCAACTTTAGTAGCAACTTTAGTAGCAAACTTGGTTCTAACTTGCCTTACCTGTGGCAAAAGAACTTCAGTCTTGGACAATGTGACAACCTAACGTCTTAAACATTCTTAATTTCATTCTTTTACAGGCAAGAGCAGAGGACGGTGCATCTGTATGTGAAGAAGATGCCTACACTACATCTTGAGATAGACAGCAGTTATTCAAGATGTGTTCAAGTAGTCTTAGAAGACAACTTGAGTCAGCTTTTATGATGGTTACTTTCTGTACTGTGTAGATGAGACTATTTTATTTATTTCTTATTTATTCTGGAGCAACAGCACACACTCTTAAAGACACATGGACATGGTGCTTTTAACTGTAAATACTTTGATATTGTGTCATATACCTTGTTCCTTCCATGCAGTTATATTATTAGGGACAGGTAGCAAATACACAGACAAATGATGGAAACAGCATATATCTTGACCACCGATTTAATGTCGTATTGGAAAGATTTTACTTCAATACCTGAAAGGATTTTAACACCAAAACAGCTAATGCAAAATATATCTATTTTTGTATGCTTTTTAAGAATTTTAAAAACAAAGCAATATTTATATGTCCTTGAAGGATGATGATGGTCAAGACTTTTATACTGCAAAATGCAGTTCTGATGACACAACATGTCCACCTCAGAATAAAATTTTTATCAAAGGACCATGCCGTTGTTCTTGTTTATTTCTACTTTTCAAAACTTCTGGGTAACAAAGGCTTGTGCATTGCATATATTTCCAAAATTCCTTTAAAATTAAATGGCAGACCTGGAAATGAAAAAAAAAAACAATACCACAACATTGGGTTATTGGCTAACTTATTGCATTCATGAATTAAACACCAATGTACAAATATTATGCCAAGTATCTTGGCAAAGGTTACAGTCAACGCAGTTGATATGATCCAGTGTAGTTAATTCTTTACACTCAGTATAATGTGCCGTGAGCTGTCTTATGTCCACTTTAGCTCATATTTTGTTTTCCTAAACTTCCTCGGGATTGTACCCTTCTACCATTATCTTTGGCAGGCACTTTCAAAGGACTCAACCTCTCTTTCCCCCTACTTCTCTCAGCAGCAGTTTTGTCGGATGCAACATTGTCCATACTACTGGAGGATGTTAGTGTTGTTATCGAGGACTTTCTCATTTGTGCTGAGTTCTGTCTCCTGTAGTTGTGTCAGCCGTCCTTGAATTTACCCGGCCAGTAGGCCTGCTGACACTGAGTCTAGATTCAGAGTTTGATTTGCTCATTTTTGTCTTTACTGGCTCAGAGTCTTTCCCGTCGCCTTTATTGCTGTTTTGGGCTGTAGACGGAGGCTCCTGATTGGTCCTCGCCTGTTTGAGAAAGTCTGTTGCCTCGGTAACCTTCTGTCTGTGCTGTTGCAAGGAGGACTCCAGGTCAGCTGCTGTTCTGCTGTGCTGGACAGCACATTCCTGCTGTACCTGCTGCAGAGCTGTGACCAGCTGTGCCTGGAACCCGCTCAGGGCTATAGAACCTGGTCCAAGAGTCAGGCATAAAACATGTAACAAACATATATAACTTTTTATTCTATATGACAGGTTTTCATAATTCTTACATCGTCATAGTACTCTTAAAGTGATTTTAGATGTCTTACGTACCACTATTTTGAGTAATTTTAGGTTCCTAGGTGTTTTAACAAATACAGTGAATGTTTTCTATTCTTAGATGTTCCACTGACAGTATGTATTTTGTAAATAGCCATGCAATTCAGCCATCTGACTGCAACATGCTTCTTTGTGCAATAAACCAAACCTAAAGCAAAGAGTACATGTAAAATAAACTCTCATAATTCCACCAGGTATACTAGTAGTAAGACAGTGGATTTAAAGGCATATGTTATTAGCATTTTATTTAGTAATCCCCCAAAGTCTGCACACTTCAGATATCCAGGTGTTCAAGATATCCTTGAGAGAGTCTTGATAACTGTTTTTTTATGTGTCAGTCATGCATGGGGCACCCAGTAGAATTAACACTGACAATAGAAAATAATCAAATGAACAGACAAAGGTAAATCATTGAATACCGCACACACACAACAACACACACAAACTGAGATTTCACCTGTGTTGTCATCCTCTCCATTTTGCTCCCTCAGTGATTCAGCTATAGACTCCAGCTAGAAGGCAAAAAATACTGGTTCAAAGATTCCCATCATAAAACTGTGTCTTACCGATAATATCTATACATGGCAAATAGTTAACACTGTGTTGTTATATCTAGGTTTGTTATGAAAAGAATGTAATTCTTTACAGCTGTTTAGGGTTAATGTTGACGTAAAAACTTTCACTTAGCTATCTACATGTAACAGTGACTGATACCCACTTGATCTGCATGTTCTTTGAAGGTCTTTAAAAAGTCCCTGAGTGCACTTTCAGAGGCTGTGTCCCTGAGTTCCCTGTATGACTCCAAAATACCTTCAAAGAAAAGCAACACAAAGACAAAGTATATTACAGGTGGCTTGTTTGATGCAGGATTGGAAGAAAAGTGATGATGAAAATCAATTTATCGTAAATATCTACACAAAATCTAAAAGTGATCTGATGAGTACAGTTAATACAACACTGAAGTGCATCGGTACACTCATGTTTTTGGACTTGAACCGAAACGTTAAATTATAGTTCTGATGATTAGATCTGTCCAATGTACTGGTACACACCACTTACTATATTTCCAATCAATTCATGTCTCTCTTCAGTGGTCAACCCCCAAAAAGGCTAGGGTCAAGGGTTTTTTGCTAGGGCCGGTCGGGTAACAGGAAACACATTTTCCCTAGGTCCTAACATATGATACACTTGTACAGTTAACATTACAATGTGTGGAAGTTTTCTTCACCTTGCAGTGGGCTACTGATTCCCTGTAGGACGTCCTGTTGGAATGAGTTGTAAGCCTGAGTGAGGGCCTGCACCAGGGTGGTGGTGTACTTTATCTGTAAGTTCTGCACCTGTCTGAAATGAGTCAACTCCTCTTCCAGGGCTGCTATCTGTAGGTGTGAACATGATAGTACATTTACATGAAGTACTGGATATTGGGATTTTCTTTTTCACCACAAGTAATGTCTCTCCTGGGTTACGTTTCGGGGTGTGATAAAAGAGCGACTGATGTTGAGATATACATTCTGATCACTAAGACATACCTGCATAGCTGTCATGTGTTTGGAATAACCCACAGCTACCATCAAACTTTCCACAGTCTTCTTTACCTGTATGCATAATAGACACATGTACCATTAATTATGACTTGTTGTTTTTTGTCCTTAGTACGAATAATGATAAATTGAGTACTGTTACTACAGATCTACATGTACATTGACGACAAAATCTTCTTGAGCTCAGATGATTGGTAAATTCTGTACCTCATATTGCTTACTGCGTGGCATGCTGGGAAGACTTGCCATGACATCATCCACAGAGAAGTGCATGCTGGGTAACCTTCTGACAGCAGACTGAAACAACAAATGTCAGTTCTATGGTGGTATTATCATTGTGAACCAATTGCATCATTTCCATTTGTCTTTTTTTTGAAAACTTTCATTTGCATGATGCATGTAGGGCCATGAACACAGTACTTTCAACCAGGCCATGTAGCTTCCCTTTCATTATCTTCACAGAAGGAAAACATGTTGTTTTTGCATAGTTTCATCTTCTTCCCTTCCAAACAAATAAAGTCAATGACCTAGACCAGATGTCTGTCACCATGGTAACTGGTGCTGTAGCAGACACCCAGTGGTATTGGGTTTCATCATAACATGACAGAGTTGGAGAGCCTGCTCACCATACATAAGAATGTGTTTGACTTTGATTAATGATAAACAGTCCAGTAGTTTGTTGAGCTAGACATTGTGCATTTGCTTTGCAAATCTTACCTTAAAGTTTCAGAGGTTAAAGAAACAGTCACGTAATACAAATAAAACCATTTGCTAGTAAAACTAACCCAAGGAGCAGCAGGCACCAGCAGGCTGAGGTGCATCAGGTCTTGACAGCACTGGTGCAGCAGCTTGTCCAGGTCTGCAGCCTGTGCTGTCAGCCTGTCGTATAGCATGCTGTCCGTCTGGTAGAACAGCGGGACAGGCTGGTGGCTCCTGATGCTGTCCACGCACTGCTGCAATCTCAGCAGCTTCTTGAACAGTTGAGACAGCTGGGACTCCAGGGAGGCCTATGGAAAGGTAAGAAGGTATTTTCAGGGCCCAAAATACTTTTTTCAGCATATCTGCACAGCAGGTAAACATTGAATTTTAATGGACTACAGACAGAGGCCATGTGATGAAATGCAGAAAATACAAAATTAGAAATAATCTTACAACAAGTAATTTTGTTTGGTAGATTGAAACTGTTACTGCTAATTTTTAAAAGCTGAAAAGCATTACAACTAAAAAGCAACTATGCATACATGTATACCTTTTGTCGGTGTCAGTTGCTTGAGTAACTGCTTTTTGGCTATCTTATTACCTGAATGTCTAACCTTCACTGACGTATACATGTACATGTATGTCCGACCAATGAAAGTACTCTTCTGCTTTCTCTTACCACATGTTTGAGGTTGAGATGTCTGATGTCACCACTGCAGATATCCAATAGGGAGACACCTTCTATACTGCCTTTAACAGCAGCACTCTTCAGCAAGGATGATTGGCCAACACTGTCACTGGCAAACCCAGTCTGGTGGGGGCAGATAGTGATTATAATATTTGAAATAAGTTAAATGAAGACATTTATATCATGACAACACTCCTTCCCTGACAACTTTCAGTGAATAAGGTAGTACATATCTCTCTTTATAAAGCCCTTTGGCCACACAGTTGTAAAAGCACTACTGCCATTCTCTTTCCATCAGTTACCGCAAAAATTGCTAAGCAGAGAAGACACTATCATCATCAGTCAGCTGCAGATCAAAAGCAGTTTAAATCATCTCGTTGGTAAAACATAGGATATTGGGGTTTTCTTTCTAGTACACAACCAGTTAGTACACAACTCTCACCTGCTTACATCAGCTACATATAGCAGTGAGAAACAGAACTCCAGTCAGAAGGAAGGTGTCTGATAGACACAAAAACATGAGCAGGTGAGAGTAAATATTACAGGTTGTGTAAAAAGAACTTAAGGTCATATTGAAGGGTGCCTGAGGCCAAAAATGAACTATTCGACAACTAAAAAGTACCTATCAGATATGATAGCGATGCCACTCTATTTTACTGATGTTCAATCGATTCTCCGTCACATATAAGTATTCCTCCGCAATATTTCCTCGAAAATTTACGTTTTCCGACGCCCTTGCTGGGTGCCGGCGGTGTGCTGGCACTCAATTGAACAACAGTACTAGTACTTAAAGTGACCTGACTGGGGTTTGAACCTGTGCAAGGAAGACAAAAAAAACAAACAAAGGGATGTCATACAAGTACGAGGCATTTTATTTACCTTTCCCTGTTTCTTCAGCCTTGTTTTAGCTCCCATGACTGTATGTATAAGGTGGGTGAGCTGGGCACGCTGTATGGACACTGTCGGGCCTGGAGACTCACAGGCAACCCACTCCCTGAAAAAGGAATGGAGAGATTGAACTTTAAGCCACAGCAATTTAATAACTTGGTTCTCTGATTTGCCTGCTTCATTTTTTTTTGTTTCACAAAGATCTTTTATGTTTTGATTTCTGTTCATAAAACTGCAACTGTAAAACGCTGTGTACATATAAAGGCTAACCCCCTGATAAACATGAGTAAAACGAGTTGATGGAAAGTTCTTCATATATCAAGGTCACCAACCTGAGTGCTGTGACTACTGTATCAAGAGCAGAATCAGCCTCCACCATGGCATCTTTGTGGGAGCTCACAGCACCTGTCAGCTGAACTATCTGTTAGGCAACAAACATAAAAAATATAAATCCCAGCACTGGGACATTCCACTTTCCAGTACACGTGCTTTTACTTAGGACATGAGCACCGGAAGCCCGTGCTGAAATGATTTAAGAAAGAGCTCACCAAGAACTGGAAAACCCCGTGCAGATGCTGTTATTTAGGTACATTGACACTTGCTTTATCCACTAATGAATGAATTGAAATGACCTCCACCAAATGCTAAGTCGAGATCAGCACTGGCACCGAGTACCGTGTGGAGTTTAGCAAGTGCCGAGACAAGATTCAGCTCTGGAATTCCAGTTCTGACGGATGTTTGAATTCAGCACTGGAAGAAAGCCTTTCAGCATACAAGAATTCCTGTGCGTAGCTTTCTTCCACTTCGGCCGGGCCCCGAGTGCCGATGCCATTTTTCCCGCGAGTTCCACACTGAGTGCCCAGTGCGGAACTCGTTACTTCGGTACCCTTGCGCACCTGTCTCTCCAGCTGGATGACATGTGACTTGAGCATGTGGACTCTCCTCTCCTCCCAGTGCTCAGCCCCGCCCTCCTGTACCAGCTGGTCGTACAGACTCCTCAGCTCCTGCAGGTCCTGTCTCAACCGCACATTCTCCTCCTGCAGTTCCTGTCAGGGATTAACCAAAAATTATAGTGGGGAAGGAGATGGAAGAGCTATTATAGAAATTGTGACAAATGAAAAATTAAATGTTGCATCAGGGACTGGAGGTTGAATTTTTAAAGAGCTCCTTGGTTGTATGTTATGTTTATATGTAATGTTACACACATAGTAATCAAGTTCTTCTTAAAAGGCATGGAAAAAATTGTCAAAGAAATCATGAAAAGGGTGAATTCAATATTCTGAGGCGGGAAGGCTGGTGTGTCGAGGGTCCGACCAGATATTTATATTATAAAGGACCTTCCTCGTGTCAAGAACTAATAAACCCACCCCCTGATGAATATTGGCCGCTCCCTGTATCTATATGAACTGACCAATGTGCATGGTTATAGGCACAACCAACTTTTCATATACATGTAGTAAAATCTCCAAGTCTGATCCTAATTCAATAGATAACAGTATTAAATTCCGACAACTGACTTGTTAAAGTTGTCATGGTCATATTTAACAGCTACAACTTTAAACAGCAAAATTTCGTTGCTCTGGACATCATCGAGTCCATAGCAACATCATCTTACCTTCGCATTTCCCTTCATTTTCACGTCCGCCATGGTGGAATCTTGTGAACCAAACTGATGAACCGAATTTCCAGACTATTGACTACCCATCAACGTTGGACGAAACCTTTACGTTTATATATAATACAGACAAACGCTGTATTATCTAAATGTTTACCACCATCGATACAACCGTCCCGCCTTCACCAACTACTCTGGGCACGAGTTTTCACCCGGAATGTTACACTTTATTCAGGGAGGTTGATATCGGATTATTTGTGTTATTGAATAGCGCAACATTCTATTTATTATCACATTTTATATCTATCATTTTAAAGTACCATATACTATAAAATGTATTAGGTATATATTTAATCAACACGCATATCACATATATTTGTCTCCACTGTAGCTTTTCTACAATGGATTTTTGTAAACGCCCCTTTGAAAATATAGAATAGTCTGGAGCATACGTTACGCAATATCCGGTGATTCTCGTACGCGTGAAAAGATGGCGGCGCACATGTGTAAATGTCCCGAGGTCAGATTTCTGCGTTTTTTGTTTCCTGAGAACAATCACGTAGACAGGATATAGTGATTTCTCTCTCAAATAGAGTCTTTGTAAATGTTACGTTAAGTACATTGAGTTCTGAAGACTTCACGATCACACAAAATGCGCTACGATCAATCGTTTAACATGTGTTCGATTGGGGAGGGGGGCTTTGCTTAGTAATAACCAGAAGAATGTAATTAATTGCAATCTAATAAGGCAATTGATAATATTCGTCATGCTCACTATATGATTTTGTTCTTGTCTAGTAATCTGAATTTTTGCACTTGTTGCTATTGATGCAGATAAAACGTCATAATATTATTTGGGTACAAGTGAAGTTTTTCATAAAAGACAAGCACATATTCACATATTCATCAATTGCATCAGAGAATGATGTAAATATTGTGGATTATTACTCATTCTTCATGTTATCTCGCTGTGGTGCTTATGTTACAAAGCCAGTATCCAGCGTAGCTCCTGCCAAAAAGTCTGTCTGGCTTGCATGTCATTTAGAAAAGAAAGAGATCATTTGTCTTTTGTGACCCTTTAAAGACACCCGATGCAATTTCAGGGCTGCAAAACAAAATAATATTCAGATATCTGTCTGATATTGACATTTACTGTCATTTCTTAGCACATTTTCATCATCATTTCATACTTCCGAGGCATTTGAAAAAGCCCCAAAACAACCTACATGAGGAACTAAATGTTTTTGGGTACCAGCCATAGATACAAGTGTAGCTAGATCCAGCCTATATGAAAATATAGGTAACTGTTTTCAGTCTGCAACATCACATTTTTGCCTCACAG